GGACACATTGTGAACTGGACACCACAATCATGTAGGCAAGGATAGAAAAAAGGATAAGCGGGGAGTGCTATTTACATTGGAGATAGAGGATGTAGACCCGTTGGGAGTCTTGAGCTACGTTCATTATGTCAGTTAAATTTTTGATGAACAATTTTCGTGACAATGATGCTTATGATCATATTAATGAAAACCTTATGTATCGAACTAACTATTTATTATGGTCAAGTTTTTTCAAGTTTCTAAGCACATATTTATTTATTTACTTCCGTTGCAACGCACGATCATGTTTGCTATACTTATATAATGTAGTATAAAATTTATTTCCACTTTTGTTCGTCAGAGATAAGAACTAATGGATTTGGATGATGTTTTAAAATTATCAACTGACATTTGTAAAATTTAATATGCGTTATGACAAAATATTTTGAAAACCCGTGGCAACGCACGGGCATTGTATTATATATATATATATATATATATATATATATATATATATATATATATATATATATATATATATATAAAGAAGAGCTTGAAATCTTTGCTGCGAGAGAGATAATACACGTACGGGGAAAACCCTAACACTCCCAACCACCAATCATACAAGGACGCTGCAGGGATCCAAGAACATCGGTGGCCACCTCCATGGTCAGTGTCGGCGTCCATGGGCTTCCTCCACAATTACGACGTGTCTGCTACCACTTCATCAACCACCTCCACACCACAAGAAGGCCATGGTCATGAGGAATCTCCAAAAGTCTGATTAGTGCCACCCCTTATTTGCATATGATCAGGTGTTCTAATCACAATACTAAAATCTTTTTTCAGTTAATCCTAAAGCAATTATTCTAAATTTTGTTTGAGAATCAATTATTCTTTTTTGAGTGCTGAGAATCGATTGTTCTATTTTTTTAGACAAGATTATTCTAAATTTATGACCGGTAATCATGTATCAGTGGGCTAGTCAAATAAGCTAGACCGGCCCGGCCCGGCCATCAGTCTAATAGCTCTGGAAGAACGGGCGGCGGTAAGAGCGGCCACGATGCGGTCGTCGTCGCCTTCCTCCTCGATTCCTCGTCGTGCTTGCTCGCGATCCATTCTGCAGGGAGGCGAAACCCTCTGCGCGCCATGGGCGACCACTACGGTACGCTTGGGGTGCGGCCCGACGCTACCAAGGCCGAGGTCAAGGCCGCCTTCCGCCGCCGCGCCCTGCGCGACCACCCCGACCGCCACGCTCAATCCGGCGACGCCGGTGCCCGAGCCGAAGCCGCGGCGCGCTTCCGCCAGGCCTCCGACGCCTACCACGTCCTCTCCGACGACCAAAGGAGGGCCGAGTACGACCTCCGTCTCCGCTCTTCCTCCTATGTCCGCACATCCTCCTCCACCTGGGCCTCCTCCTCGGGTTCGCACGGCTACGGCTACGGGCACAGAGAAAGTTCTTGGCGGCGGCCGCCTCCGGGAGGCGGAGGCGCATCGGTGGGATACGATTGGGGCTTGTTGCTGAAGGCGATGACTCGGCGAAGGTTCCTTCTCAATCTCGGCTTCTCCAGGTACCAAATTGGCATCGATACTTTTCTTTCTTGAGTTCCTATGGCGCCGCGCAGAGGGCTCTTGCACTAATTTTGTTAGGTTTTCAACTTTCAAGAGAGAGTCCAATACCATTGCATGATTGTTACACAGTGGTTTATGGATATCTTGGTGTAAGAAATTAAACAGAACCAAACCTCCAAATTGGGTTACCACAAGTACTTGAATATTTGTTATCACTGCTGTTCGGTCAAATGTGGATGCGCTTGGAGCTGGCAATCAGTTCCAAAAAACAGAATCAGACGTTTTTCCAAAGAAATTTCGTCATATATTTTGAACTTCAATACCTGTTCCACCTCATGCAATGGCATTCTTACTTCATAACTGTTTTGGCTGTTGACAGAGTACTTCTAATTCATAAATGTGAAATTAAAATTGACATGATATATGGCTACTCTTGGTGGAATGGTGGTTGATGATGAGTCGGTGAAGTCGGCTCACAAATCCTATGATGATCATGGGTTAGATGACACAGATTGGTGCTAAAATCAATGCTTAGTAGACTAGTAGTGAGGGGCTTAAATGTCAAACTAACATGGAACAATGTGAGCGTGAGTGTTGTTAACAAATCTATCCGAGGAATTGAACAAACTAACATGGAACAAGCCTCTGCACACAGTTTTTTTCCAATAAATGAACCAGATTTGAAAATAATGAGTTTATTGGACTGAAAACCAATTTAAAGCCATCTCAACATTGGACATAGCCTTCTTTAACGAACGCAGGTGCAGCAAATTCCCCAGAGTGATAGTTTTTTCCAAAGCAAGCTTCAAGTCGACCTTCCCTACTCCAAAAGCAGCAGACCTGAGCTGTTTCCTATCAAGAAAGGAAGAACTGTTGGCACATGCATGAGTTTCGGCTCTTGTATGAACCAACCAATCAATGGATTGACAATCGACATGCTATAACCTATAAGTAGAACAAGGGTATAATGAATAATCATACAGTGAGGTACTAGATTCACCGACAACCACACCTAGAGTTCTACCCTTGCGAGCCATTCTTCCCGCCTTCCCTGTCGTGGCATACATATCTTGGCCTTTTGGCCTACCTCACTGCACTTAAAGCAGGTGGCACCTTAGAGTTTGTTGCTTACTAGATTGGATTTTGATGCCCTGTCATGTGTGACACAAGCCACGTCTCTCCTCCACATCCTGGTGAGCAGTCGAGTCATCAAACTTCATGCCCTCTCATTTCTGATTAAGTGCGATGGCAAAACTTCTCCATGATGGAGATTTTAGGAATTATGCCCCTACAACAAACTTGGAGTTGTCTTGAACATCGGATTGAGCCATCTTATCCACTATTGTTGTAGGATCGTGGGACTGCCTTATCACTGACTCATTATCAACTGTCTTGTTGTTGTGGTATTGTTCGACCACCTAGATCTAGCACCCTGATTCTGAAACCACGAATTGGTGGTCTAACACACCCCGTAGCTCCACGATAAATTTGTATGTCATAGAGCTGCTCCGAAAAGATCATACACACAGCAGTTTTGTTTGCTACCTCAAGATCCACCTCCTGCTGGCAAGCCATCAGGTGTCACCTGTAGTATAACCCACCACAAGTTCTAGGGTAAGTGATACTAACGTACTTAGACTGCCATCTTTAATGTTTTCAGTATTCAGTCCTTAAATATGAAGATTAGTCACAATGACATGTTATTCTCTAGTGATGTTTGAAGTGCTAAAGCTGACGATGTCACAATGACAAGTTATTCTCTAGTGATGTTTGGAGTGTCTCTGAAAAATACATGCAATATGAAGTAATAACTGAATTACATTTAATTGAATTGCAAGTCAGTACCCAAGAGATAAATTAACCCACTAACCAACTGATTAAGTGTAGGCAGGAGAGCGCAAAGCATACAAAGTATTGTTGATCGTGCTAGTATGGGAAGAACAAGATAGCTCCACACAAGGCAACATGAAACTGATGTCCAGGCAAATAAACTATTAATCATGATAGAATAGACATACATGTACTAGAAAGTAATAGCAGGTATTAATAACACTAGATCACTCAAACAGAATAACCTGAGTGACATTAAACAGTTTGATGCACTTATACTCTGATGGGAAATTCACTCGAAGACTCGACCACATTCAGTGGCCAGCCAAAGAACAGAGGAAGTAGATGTTACGTGCACATGTCAACGTAACTCATCCCAGACGGCTGAGAGAATGTCCTAGAGGGTGCTAAATTTTGATCGGTCACGGCGTGTGCTACCAGGAGATCCATATGCTTAACATTGCAAACTCATGTGATTCCCTTTAGTGTTTTATGTAGTAATATCAAATGTTCTAGTCCGAATGGCCTCCCATTATTTTTATTATGATAGCGGTTGAGTTCAATGGCTGATGATGATAATTCTGCACTGCAGTGTATTGCTTTCTGGTGCAGCTTTTCTTGATGGAAGTATTCTGGAACTCTGGAACATGAATAACTCTGGGGTAAGTGTATATAGCCGGTGAACTTCTAGTGCTTTATCTAGAGTAACTTTCATTCTCATTTATTTCTTTTCTCAGTATCCACATGAGTTCCTTTGGTTTAACGATTTAACCCTTGTTCTTTTGAATTTATTTCCGTCAAGAGCAAGTTGATTTGGTTGTTGAGTGACAAAAGCTGGGTGAAGCTTATAATATGCAGTTTATTAGAATTGTTAGAAGGGAAAAGGTGGTACAAAACATCAAATGGTGAAACTTAATCCTTTTAACGTTGTCCATGTGATACCTTCTCCTTATCTGATTGTGACCATCACTGTAATGCGTCCAGTTTGTTCATTAAGCTAGAAAGATTGCAATTCACTGATAAGTTCAGGTTAAGTGCGGAATATGATGGAGATGCCCTTTTCTTTTTCCCAGTTGGTAGTTAGAATGCTTCAGTTTGGATTTTCTTGTACCTTCCAATGATGAACCACCCTTTGGAAACTATGGAACAGCTTCATGTTTTTCAAAGTTGTATTTCGAATTGGTAAGAAAATGAACATCAGTTTTTGAGAGTTTTCAATTTTCAGATGTAATTAAACTAACCCCTTGGTCATTTGTAGCTGCTCGGTCAGGTGAGGAGTAGGGATTAATTGGTGAATCGGCCTATTAACTGAATTTATCGGTAACCCATTCATTGGTAGGTTAATTAGGGCCTGCATATGCTGTTCATTGACTTAGAGAAGGCCTACGATAAGATACCGCGGAATGTCATGTGGTGGGCCTTGGAGAAACACAAAGTCCCAGCAAAGTACATTACCCTCATCAAGGACATGTATGATAATGTTGTGACAAGTGTTCGAACAAGTGATGGCGACACCGATGACTTCCTGATTAAAATAGGACTGCACCAGGGTCAGCTTTGAGCCCTTATCTTTTTGCTCTGGTGATGGATGAGATCACAAGGGATATACAAGGAGATATCCCATGGTGTGTATGCTCTTTGCGGATGATGTGGTGCTAGTCGATGATAGACGGACGGGGGTCAATAGGAAGTTAGAGCTATGGAGACAAATCTTGGAATCCAAAGGTTTTAGGCTTAGTAGAACTAAAACCGAGTACATGAGGTGCGGTTTCAGTACTACTAGGCACGAGGAGGAGGTTAGCCTTGATGGGAAGGTGATGCCTCAAAAAGACACCTTTAGATATTTAGGGTCTATGCTGCAGAAGGATGGGGATATCGATGAAGACGTGAATCATCGAATCAAAGCCGGATGGATGAAGTGGCGCCAAGCTTCTGGCATTCTCTGTGACAAGAGTGCCACGAAAGCTAAAAGGCAAGTCCTATAGGACGGCGGTTCGACCCGCACTGTTGTATGGTGCTGAGTGTTGGCCGACTAAAAGGCGACATGTTCAACAGTTAGGTGTGGCGGAGATGCGCATGTTGAGATGGATGTGTGGCCACACAAGGAAGGACCGAGTCCGGAATGATGATATACGAGATAGAGTTGGGGTAGCGCCGATTGAAGAGAAGCTTGTCCAACATCGTATGAGATGGTTTTGGCATATTCAGCGCAGGCCTCCAGAAGCGCCAGTGCATAGCGGACGGCTAAAGCGTGCCGATAATGTCAAGAGAGGTCGGGGTAGACCGAACTTTACATGGGAGGAGTCCGTAAAGAGGGATATGAAGGATTGGAGTATGGACAAAGAACTAGCCATGGACGTGTGCGTGGAAGCTTGATATCCATGTGCGAGAACCATGAGTTGGTTGCGAGATCTTATGGGTTTCACCTCTAGCCTACCCCACTTGTTTGGGACTAAAGGCTTTGTTGTTGTTGTTGTTGTTGTTATCTTAGCTACATATAGCAATAATGCAGCAGCAGCATCAATAATGGAGAGCCAATAAGCGGCAGCGGCAGCAGCAACAGCATATAACACAGAGCAGGAGCAACATATAGCATAGCACAAAGCAGATCAGCATATAGCACAGACTGCTTGGGGAGGGGGCGGCGACCTGGAGCAGGAAGAAGAAGGGAGGCAAGCTCGTCTGCTGTGCTGCTGGTCTCGGGGAGGGGGAGGGTCGGCGGGCTCGAGCGGGAGGAAGAGGCTTGGTGCCTGGATCCTTGAGGAGTGCAGGCACCTCCGGCGGATGACGCCGGCTGCTCGTAGCCTCCTCCAATGAGGGTTACTACGGGAGGGGAGGGGAGAGTGAGAAGGGCCTGACCTATAAAACACCCAGTTTGGGGGTAAAGGAGGGAATGGTCCAAAATGTTGGAGCCCAAATTTCTCTCTCCCTCTATTCAGTTAACCGGCCCAGTGGAATAAATCGGCCTGACAGCCGATTAATCCGCTGGATGGATAAGGTGTTATCGCATCCTTGACCTACGGATTCAGGATTAACTGGCCGATTACCTTAAATATCGTTCGATATTTTTAACAGTTTGTAGAAATGATTATTCTTGTTTACTTGAGGAATTTGCGTTCACTAAACCATATATTGAGTTTAAATGTTCTACACATATATGTACACCAAATCTTATTGGCATGCTTAGCAGTAGCGGCTATAATGAGCTCACACACTTTCTTTTCTTGCTTATATAAGATAGTAAAAATGTGTCTTATTTTGACTCTGATTACAACTTTTCTGTCATAGTACTTTATATCTCTTACACCTTTTTTCCTGTACGTCAGGGTGGTATACTTAGATTTAGAGGTTGCAACGCCTAGCTACTCCCGTCAGTTTTGTTAGGTGTGTAATTTCATGTGTAGAGGTGATAAGAAACCCCTCGGGCAGCTTAGTTATGCTGGGTAGGGTGAGTGAGAAACAAAGAGGAGGATTATTATAATTATATAAATATTGTGTCAGGCATCATCAGCATATGACTAGTACTTAATCTTATTCTTGCTATTACTACTTACTAGTAGTAGTACTGGTGTTGTAGAAAAAAACGATTACTACTTACTACTAGTGACATGAAGTCGTGTTTTGTCTATTTGCCATGCAGAAATCATTTGAAGAAGCAATGGAGTCGATTGAGAAGGTAAAAGGGGGAAAGGGGAATAGGTAGAGAAGTAGATAGGTTCCATCAAATTGTGGTACACTGGTACATAGACAAACGAGTGTGCATATTGTTGTTCAGATCCTTCTGTACAGTCGGAATAATATTTGTGACAAAGTGACGACTGATTACCTGATCAGCGTAGCTGTGGATGATTGTAATGTGCATCTATGCCTAAGGTTCTTCCAGTGCAAAGATTCAAACAAGTTGTCTTTTAACCTCCTCTAATCATGCTTTGTTTCCTCGGAATCTGCAAGTAATCGCATTGTGTATTGTAATGGTACAGACATTTTGGTGGGTACGAAGGCTGGCCTGTATTAGAGATATATTTGGGTTGCATGTGTTTGGTAGTCTAGGATTTGTAATCCGTCTCCTACCTTATTTTTAGGAGAGGTGTCTTGCCCTTAAGTCTTGTACTCAATATATACTCGTCATCATGGTTCAATAAGACATCCATCATATTTCCCAATTCTCTTCCTCTATTCTTTCTACTTCCTCGATCATATTTCCCAATTCTCTTCCTCTATTCTTTCTACTTCCTCCGTCTAGGTGTATAAGTCATCTTACGAAAATTAAATAATCTCAAAACACTTAGACATGGTACATTAACTCCCTCGTCGTTTCTTGTTTCATGACATCAATCAATAAGAGACGTGGGTCGTGCATGCTTTTAATGACTTAAGAATAACAAATATGACATACAGTGGTTAGTTCATTGCATGCAATGCTATCGATTAGCAAAAAAATATTAAATTCTCTCGTTTTTCACTCCGCCTTGGTCGCGGTGCACAGTCTAAAATGACTTACACACCTAGACGGAGGGAGTAATATGGTATCAGTCTAACCGATTCAAACCCTAGCCGAAGCCCATCTTTTTTGCCCCGCGTGCCGCCCCTGGGCAGTCGGCCTCCATGTCCGTCGCTGGGGCCACGCCACCCGTACCTAGGGTTCATCTGTAGTGTTGACCGGCTGCCCTAGAGAGTCTTTTCTCGAGCCCTTGCTCCGGAATTTTCTTTCTCGCCGGTTGTCTTGATCGGCGTTTTCTTTTTGGTTTTTCGATCTACGAGCGTTTTGCGTCGCCCGCCGCCGCCCACCCGCCCCTCTACTCCGACACCGACGCGACCACTTCGCCTCTTCTCTGACCCGACGGCCTTGCACGACACGGCGGCCCGTCACGGTTGTCGTTCGCGCGTCTGCCCGCCCATCGCTCTACGTCAGCCGTCGCCGCCCTGCTTCGACCGAGATTCCTGCATCACCTCCCGCCTCCGTCCCGTATGTACAACCTGCCTCCACACGACGTTGCGTTCGCCGCTTCGGGCCTGGCTGCTCGGGTGACGCTGTTGCGTTGGCCGCCCGCGCGTCGCCGCTGACGCAGTCGTCCGCGTGTCATCCCACGCCGCCCGTCGTTGCCGGCTTCATCCCGCACTCCGCCTCCACCGAGCGACGTCTCCAACCTCGCGCGCGATCGGATTGATCACCCGCCCGTCGTCGCGATTCACCTCATCTACGTCGGGCGACCGACCTGTAAGTCGGTTGCGCGCGCCTCCGCATGTCCCGTGAAGATCGTCCCCGAGTTCAGCGCGCCCCTCCACCGATCGAGCAGCGGTCTACTGTTGCGTCGCCCCGTCGGGCCGCAGCACCGCCGCCTCGTGGTTCTCCTCACGGCTGCATCTACTCGTGTGTCGTCGCTGCGCCGTCCCTTCGGGGTGTAGTGCCGTGATACACGGTTCCCTGACACCGCTCCGAGGTCGTCCCCGCGGTTGCACCGACCCGCGCTCCCCCGCAACGCCGCCCCTTCGGGACGTAGCGTCGCGGCACGCAGTCCACACCGCCGCCCCAAGGTCTTCCCGTCGTCGCCCCGACTTGCCCGCCGCCGTTGCGTCGCCCCTTCGGGCCTTAGCGTCGTGGCCTGCAGTCCACTCCGCCGTCATCGCACGTCGACTTCCCGTGGTATACGCCGTGCCGCCTTCATCGGCGTGGGAACACCACCGTCCCACGCCGGTCTTCGTCACGCTGTTGGGTTCTCCTCGCCTACTTCGAGCACCGTCGCCGTGCTCCTAACTTAGTCGTCGCCGTCGGCGCGTCCTCAAGCCCCTGCCACCGCTCTACTTCCTCGGCACCGCTACCGCTCGCTCACCCGAGCCACGCCGTCAGTCCACCCCCTTCGTCTTCGTCCAGCACCAGCTCGTCGCAGCGTCGCTGTCATCTTCCTCGACCATGCCGTCATCTTCCTCGACCATTCCGACCACCATTGGTGACATCGGCCCCACGCCGATTGGCGCCGCAACCGTCGTCGAGTCTCCTTCTCTGCTGACCCCTGCGACTCCTTGACATGGCGTATAGCTCGTGCAGGTCCCTTGTCTACGCATGCCCGATGCTGGCACCACCGATCTGTGCCTTTGTCCACGACGTGTCCCCGGGCCTGGCAAGCCTGGTGCGGCGCTTCGTCAACTTCGTCTTCGTTCGTCTACGCATGCCCGGTGTTGGCAACACCGACGTGTGCCTTTGTCTACGACGTGTCCCGGGGTCTGGCAAACTCGGCGCAACGCTTCGTCAACACCATCTTCTTCCCGGCGCACCACTACTTCAACACCACTTCGCCCATGACTAACTCGGTGCCTCCTTGCGCCCGTGGCTCCATGATGACTTCCTCGACACCGGCCACCCCGACTCGACATTGACCACGGCATTCTTCGCATGGCTACCTCGACCACGGCTACACCACCCACGCTCTCGGCTACCTCGATAACGGCACAAAGGGCTATCACCTCGCTTGAGCAACTCGACGGCTTCCTCTACAGTCAACGCGCCCGCGACGCAACACCGTCCACGACGCTCCCGCTACGACTGCGGAGGGATGCCAGCCGTCGGCTGCTATTCTCTTCAGTCTGACCGTTCGTGACGCTCATGTTGTCCGCAACGCTACCGCTACGACTGCGGGGAGGGGGGTGTTAGAGATATATTTGGGTTATGTGTTTGGTAGTCTAGGATTTGTAATCCGTGTCCTACTTTATCTTTAGAAGAGGTGTCTTATCCTTAGAGATATATTTGGGTTATATACTCACCTCCGAGGCTCAATAATACATCCATCATATTCGGCCAATTCTCTCCCTCTATCCATTCTAACAGCCTGGGCTTCCGGAGGCTAGTGTTTGAAGCTATGTTTAAAGCCCTAAATCAGACATGCTGTATTGTTGAGAGCTTGTGTCATGTCAAGTGAAATTTATGTGCCTGCAAGGTTGTCCAAACTATGTCGTTGACAAAGAAAGAAAGAAGCAGCAGTTTCGCAGCTGCTGTCTGTTTGTCAACAAAATCATGCACGCAGACGCAAGCTCAGTGTGCCGTCACTTGACTCTGTCTCCACTAGGCGAGTCCACGAGTTCGTTTTACACAAACTTCATAAAATCTGTGATGGCCCGGCACCGCCACTCCTGCGGGTGTGCGCTGTCATGAGGGTGGTGTGTCCCT